AAGAAAGAAAGAAAGAAAGAAAGAAAGAAAGAAAGAAAGAAAGAAAGGGTAAAATTATATTTAACAGAAAAACAAAAACAAAAGCAAAATCAAACTATAAGCTGTAGGAAATTCACTACTGGAATAGGAGATACTATTTGGGTTTAAAAATAAAAAAATATGTTGAAGGTAAAAGAATGGAAAAGATATATGCAGTGCAAACAGCAACCATATGAAAGAGCTGGAATGGCTAGAGTAATATCAGACAGAATAGACTTTAAAACAAAATAGGGCACCTGGGTGGCTCAGTTGGTTAGGCGTCTGCCTTCGGCTCAGGTCATGATCCCAGGGTCGTGGGATCGAGCCCCACATCGGGCTCTCTGCTCCGCGGGGAGCCTGCGTCCCCTCCTCTCTCTCTGCCTGCCTCTCTGCCTACTTGTGATCTCTGTCTGTCAAATAATAAAATTTAAAATATATATATATATGGCTAGATATAAAAGTGGGTTCCTAAAAAAATGAAAAAAGGGTCAGTCTTCTAAGGAGATACAACAATTGTAAACATATATGTATCTAATTGTTCTAAATACATGCATCACAAACTGACAGAATTGAAGGAAGAAATAGAAAATTCAACAATAACGGTTAAAAGCTTCACTATTCCACTTTCAATAATGGGTAGAACAACTAGACAGAGAATCATTTAGCAATAAAAATAAATGAAGTACTGATCATGCTATTAATTGGGCAAAACATGAAAATATTATGTAATTGAAAGAAGTCAGGCACAAAAGTTTACATGCTATAGGACTCCATATATATAAAAAAATAGGTACACTTGTTGAGACAAAAGTCGATGCTTGTTGCTTGGGGCTGTAGGGTTTGGGATGTTTCAGGGGAGTAATGAAGTGATTGCTACTAGATTCCTTTTGAGAGTGAGGAAGATGTCCTATGAGACCTGCATGACTCTGTGAATGTATTTAAAAACCTTGGATTGTATACTTTAAATGGGTGAATTGTAAAATAGGTGAGTTATATCTCAATAACGCTGTTGTTTTAAAGGAGCCCCAATTGGAACAAGGGTTGGCAAAACAGCCCACCTGCCAGTTCTGTTCCTTTGCCTTTTTTTGTATAGAATGTCAAGTTGCAAACATTTTAGTTCCTTTTAGGAGTCGAAAAAAGTCAAAAGAAGAGTAGTACTTCATAACACATGTGCAAATTATGTGAAATTGAAATGTCAATGTTCGTTAATAAAGTTTTATTGGAATACACACATATACACACAAAGATAAAATAAGATCTCTAAGGTTATTTAAATAGCAAATGGCAGAGTTGAGTTCAAACTCAGTTGGACTGAATTTAGAGCCCTGTAACATAACCACAACAAAAATCTGTTAGGCACAGAATAGAAATGAGACTTGATTCAGATATATTCTGAGATTGAGAACCATCATCAAGCACCATCACTTCTGATGTGTATTGGGAAAAGGGATGACAAAATGTACCTAAGCATTGACTAGCAGAAATTTGTGTGAAAGAGGAGGCAGGATAGTTTTAATGGTTTTATTTTCTACAAGGAAATTCTTGAATTAAAGAGGGAGCCAGCAAGGCTCTTTAACATACTGACCGCATGAATACACAGAATGGGAATACCCTTTACTGTGGAAGGTTGCTATGCAACTGTATCTAGCTTTCCTTTTTAACGTTGCTCCTTCATGTAAGGGATTTTTGCATATACATGAACAATTATGCACCAAATATCACGTTCTTTGTTTTACTTAATTATGCATGTCTCTTCTCATCTCTGTTCAATGATGTCAAGTTGGTAGCTTGAAATCAGATATAGCAGGAATATTTACACAATGAAAATTGGAGGGCTGTTTAGCAAGTGTTTACCAGCACAATACTAGTTCAGGACAATGACCTATAAAAGGCATTACTCGCCTTTACAAACACCTTGCATAAGCTCTTCTCATCCTTTCTTGCATCTTCCTCCATGTTTGTGTGGGGATGTGATGATGCTGCTAAAGCATTCTTTATTTTTTATTTATTTATTTTTTAATCCCACAAAGGTGGGAGGAGACTGTGTCCTTGCTACCTTCATAGAATCATATGATTTGTTGGCTGATGCACTTGGTCTGGAAACCATACTTTGAGAACCACTATTGCTTTGGATTTTTTTGTCGTTGTTGTTGTTATACTCAGCTAAATCAAGTTATAGTTGGTACCGTTAGGAAATTCTGGTGAATCAGAGAAAACAAGCCTCATCCGAAGGCATTCCTATTCAATTTTTTAAAACGCTGGGCTGAGCAATAGCACAGTTGATAAGCTCCCTCAGTAAATTGTGGAACAGAAAGGGAACTTCAGCTCTGGCTTATCTGCAGCATTCTACTGTCAAGAATGGGTATTCCCCACTGCAGGATGCACAGAGAAGACCACGTGTGTATGAACAACATTTAAAGAAGAATAAAGATAGCTATTAGGAAAATAAGTTGAAACAGTCACCAGCATGGAGATTCCAGCAGACTCCGTCAGTGTACCCCCGGAGCTTGCTTGGATCTTTTCTCATTCCTGTGCACACTAGCTCCACACTAGCTCCACACTAGTTGTGTTCCATGCTTAAATGATCAGCACTATGTCTCTTTGTTGGGGCATTGGCCTTGGGCCGCTAGAACTCATTTTGCTTCACTTTGTTAGAAATACGGGGGAGCGGGGGGCAGTGCCTGGGTGGCTCAGTGGGTTACGCCTCTGCCTTCTGCTCAGATCATGGTCTCAGGGTCCTGGGATTGAGCCCCACATTGGGCTCTCTGCTCAGAGGGAGCCTGCTTCCCCCTCTCTCTGCCTGCCTACTTGTGATCTCTCTGTCAAATAAATAAATAAAATCTTAAAAAAAAAAAAAGAAATACTGGGGCATTTATATCTCCTGAGGGGCGATTCTTAACCAATGATTGACGGGTGCAGGAGAATAAATATTTGAGCTACTTTGTGTTGGTCAAGATAACTCTGAGGTATGGCCTACACTGTCTTTAGACACCCTTTGTGGGACAGAGTCAAACTTACTCTACATGAAATTTTGCTTGATAACATATCCCTCCTTAAGCACCTAGCTAGTGCCATTTCCCTACAACCCTCATGGTTTTTTCTGGGAAAGCTTCCTATTAATCACCTTCTCATGAATCCTCATTTCAGAGTGTTTCTGGGGAACCCAACTTTAGATAGAGGGAAGAATTTCAATCTTCTCAGAAAGCAGTAGAAGAATAAAAGGAAGGTCAATCATCCTGTTCTAGCTTCTCGAATTTGAGCTTTCTCCACTGACATGTCTCAGATATCCAGATGTGCTTGGCAAGAAAATCGACTCATTTTTGGATACCCAGGTTCATTTAAGTAGTTGGAAATACATATCTGGACTCCAGGACAGAGGTCAAGACCCGGAGATATATTAAATTAAAACAAGTTGGGTTGTCAAATCATAATGTATGAGTTATGCTGATTTACTTTTCTATGAACTACTTTGTCCATCCTCACCTAATTTTTAAAATTCAGTACAGCTGTGGGTTTCATTAAATGTTTATGATCCTATTACAGGATATATTTTTAGCCTTAATAAAAGGAAGTTGATAAAGCTTCATTATCTGTCGTTTCAGAGGAAGAGTAAAAAATCTAACATCTACCAAGTGAGTCTATAATATGTCATCATAAATCTTCTATTTTCCAAGCCTTTGTCTCTCTTTGACATCAAAGATAAATGACTATTACTAGAATTAATATCTCTTAAATATATCATGATTCTTCAACATTATTAGCCAAAAGGCTGTTATGAAAACTTCACTAAAATAGAATTTGATTTTCTTTGTATGAACTATAAGGGTTACTGTGAATTTTTAGTACCCGTAGTGGAAATGTCTTTCATATTAACTCAGCAGGATTTCTTAAAAGAATAAAATTATTTTATACACGAGAAAGTACAAAATATCGTGGCAAAATTATTCTTTTTTTTTTTAATCTTTTGAAAACCGTGATCATTTAAATCACTTAGCTAGAGGAGGTTAGTATTACTTTCAGACTCTGAATCTTGCTTTAAAGTGGCACAAGCTTGGAAGCAAAATAATACAACTTCATTGACCTAGGGAGAGCTCTTAAGAAACATCCTTGAGATATTTGAACCACGCCTATCTCTTCTACCAGATGCAAAAGATAATTTTAGTCTAAGATTCTCTGTACTATTGTGAGTTCCAAACGTAATTTCTCTCGAAACGTGTGTCCATGTAAAAAGCTCCTTTTGCAGTTGCTATGGAACTGGTTTCTGACACTTACATTATTAAGGCTCATTTTGGATCGGAAGGGAATGCATCTGTAAGACATTGAAAACTGCTTCCATAATTTGGGGCTGAGAAAGGAAAAAAAATGGAGAGTGGCAGAAAATGAAAGAAAGTATTTGTAAGTATTAGTTACATGAAAATTCTATGTTTTAATGGTAGTCATGTCAGCAAAGCAAGTATTATATAGGATTATTTCCCATATTGGCATAAATGAAAGATATTTTCAGTTCTGGAATTATGAGATTTTTATTGTAGAAATTATATCATAATTTAGATATATAGTCAGAGCCTAACAATACTGGCCTAATGTAAGTTTTAGAAATTTGCTCTTTTTTTTTTTTTAAGGTATATACCAGTGACAACATAACTGGAAAATAATTAAAGAATGTTTACCTTCCTTATTTATTTAGGGATTTTTTTTATGTTTTCTCTACTCTTTCCTACTATGAAAATCTTGTCTCTGACAGAGAGATGAATGCATCAATTCACACTAAGATGAGAGTTATTGACTGTGGAAGAGCTTATGCCCACATACAACACCATGTAAACTGTCCACCAGTCCTTCCCCTGACTTCTTTTTATTTTCACTCTCCATAATTTTCCTCTTCTTCTGACTCTCCTACTTATTTTTTCTATTTGTTTTGGAAGCTGTCTCAAACTTATTTCGACATGAAATTGAGTTATGAATACATAAATAAAACTAACTTGAATGAAAAAGGAAGGCTGCACAAGTAGCATCATCTTAGTTTTATAAAGGTAAGTGACTTGCCTCCACATACTAGCGGTTTTTATAGCGGCAAATTAGGACCTAGAACTCAAGCACTTCTGATTCTGGACCCAATATTCCCTTCAGTGGAATCCCCCTGGCTTTCTGAGGACATTTATGAAGCTAGTTTAATTGTAATGACCATAATATCAAGTGTCTTCATTTCTTGTTTTAAAAAATAAACTGTTCACTTTCTGAAACATCCTTTTACAAGTTTGAAATCATAGGTCTCAAAATTAGGTACTTTTTAGTCTGTTTTATTAAGTGATTTTGCCCTACCTTGAGGATAAGTCCCTTGGGGGATATAACAAAGGTGAATCCCATCACATTAGGTGGCTGACAAGGAGGAGACACTTGTTAAAGTAGTTGGCCACCATTACGAAAACCCAGGGGAGAAATGCTGAAAAGAAATGGTTTTCTTTATGCTGAGATCATTACTTTTCTTTTTTTTTTTTTGAGAGCTAGAGTACATGTGTGTACCAGGAGGGGGAGGGGGGAAAGGGAGTGAGAACCTTAAGGGGGCTTGAAGCCCCCATGGAGCCCGAGTGGGACTAGATATCATGACCCTGAGCTGAAATTAAGAGTCTGAGGCTTAATTGACTGAGCCACCCAGGTGCCCCTATTTTTCTATTATGTTATTGTCTAGACATCCCACAAGCCCCTGTTTGCAAATTTTTATTCACAGAAATGATGTATATAATATGCAATGAAATTTGATTTCCTTTGAGTTTATTTTTTACCCTTGAGTTTTATTTTTAATATGACATCAGATGCCGGAAAGGATATGCATTGGGTTATAATTAAAACTATATCAACTTTAGGAAACTTTAGGTTTTCCACAATCTTTAATTTTTTCAGACTTCCCAGTTGACCATTTTGACCTGCTAATGCAAATTTTTGTCATTAAATTACAGATTTTGAAAACGTTTCTTCATAATGCCTTGGGTTTGTTTTTGTTTTTTTTTTAAGTCAGTGCTTACATATAAAACCAACTTTTTTTTAATGAAATGTATCAGTAAATTACACTTATGGCAAAATATAGGCATATCTTGGAGATACTGTGCTTCAGTTCCAGAACACTGCAATAAAGCAAATATTGTAATAAAAGAAGTCAAATGACTTCTTTGTTTCCCAGTGCATTTAAAGTTATGTTTATACTACACTGTAGTTTATTAAGTGTGCAATGGCACTATGCCTAAAACGATGTACAAATCTTCATTTAAAAAAATTAAAAAATAAAAATATTGCTAAAAAAAGGCTAACCATCATCTGAGCTTTCAACAAGTCATGATCACTGATCACAGATCACTAGAACAAATGTAAAAATAATGAGGCAGTTTGGAATATTGGAAGAATTATCAAAATGTGACACAGAGACACGATGTGAGCAAATCTTGTTGGAAAAAATGGGTCCAATACACTTCATTTGCTCCACTCAGTGTTACAGTGTTACCACCAAACTTTAATCTGTAACAAACAAAAAAACCAAGGGAAAAAAAAAACCCAAACCCACAATATCTCTAAGCCCAATAAAATGAGGTACGCCTGTAATGAATTAAACAACCACGGGGAACTCTGTTACCTTATCAAATACAGTGTTACTAGAATGGAAGAAGAAATCTGTTGTATTTCGAATTCAGGAAAAGAAAAACTACTAGAGAAAAAGGGCTGTATGCTTTCCCACTGAATGCATATTTTTCTGTTGTTAAGATTGCTTTGAGAACCAGTATTCTATTTTTATTATTCTCCTTTTGCCTACATTTGAAATTTTTAGAAAGGATTCTTCATTAGAAATGCTACAGAATTTTTATGTACACTGTTTTCACATGTATTTTCCAGAACATGTGCTGTCTAATTACAGTAGAAGTTTTTATGTTACAAGATCAAGTCTTGCACCCATTCTGAATCTATCACTATGGATATAATTGAAACAACTATAGCCTTAGAAACTCAAAATGCAAAATGATAAAGGGGGGGTATTTTAAATGTACTACCTATTAAATTGGGAGAAAGATGTGGGAGAAAGATAATTAATATAATTCAATTTAAAACCAAGTGTCATTTTAACTATTGATCACTTGCTGAAAGCATTACTTTAGTAAAACAATTTAAGGAACCAAGATTGTTTAACTATAGGCAGATCATTTAACATACGCAAGTATCATCTATTCAAAGGTAATATAAAGGGTTAAATTAGATGAATTCCAAAATATCTCCCAACTTTAACCTTACAAATGACCCTTCTTCAGGTTTCAGACCCTTTTCACTTTAAAAGTATCTATTATAAGTAATAGGAATAGGAATATGGGGTATACTCCTCCCTATATTTGTCAAAACCTAGTATACTTTTGAGGGAGGTCTGTTAGATTAACTTGCTCAGGGCAACTTTTTAAAATATTTTCCCCTGTACATTATCTAAAGGCCAGAATAGGTGAAAAACATGATTAATCAACAAAATGAAACTGAGATTGTGATATGAAAGTAAATATGATCTGAGAGGTAAGAAAGGATGGAATTCACTACTGGAAATGCACTGTGAAAGGATGTCATCATTCTTGGTTCAAAAGAAACAGAACTGTTATTATGAGCACAGAGTATAGCTGTGTGCCAAAAAGATATATTCCTTCATGAAAATCTGGAGAATTGAGGAGAGTATTTGTGTGAAGATAAAAGAAGATTAGAAATTAGGTAGTGCCATAGCATAGTGGTTACAAGGCTCAACTTGGGAGCTGGATTGCCTGAGCTCCTACCCTGAACATGGTACTTACAGTTGGGGTCCCCAGACTATTTAATCTCTCAGTGCTTCAGATTCCTTGTCTATACAATGTGGATTATCATTGCTCTGAGAATTATATGAGATTAAACATAAACTTCCTGGCATAAAGGGGGTGCTCAATAAATATTAGCTATCATCACTGTAAGATTATACTACAAGGACCTGACTAAAGAAAGCAAATAAATTAAATTCACCTGGTAGGAATGAAAAACTAGACTTCAAGTACACATTTAGTTGAAAATCTCACTCTTCAAAAGCAGAGCATTTGATAAGTTCTTGTCTTATCTCACTTGATAGTTTCATCCAGTAAAAGGAAAAGAAAGTTATTAGGAAAATTGGTGCTAGGGAACTATGCATTTTGCATACTGGCTGTGTTAAAAAAAAAAAAAAAAAAAGAAAGAAAGAAAGAACAAAGTGTTGAGAGAAACCAGTGTAACTTCCCGGGAAATTACTGACAGGATCAGATTTTAAATTGGTGAAACACGAGAAGAAAGGCCACATATTTAAATATTACGGTGATACTGACTGTCAGGATAATGTCAGAGGTGCTAAAGTCTAAAATGAACTGTGATGTCTGAAAAATGTTAAGGTTAACAAAAATTTTAAACTATGTAAGAGGATTTCTAGGGAAACAGAATTAATATATGCAATGTATATCCTTTGGCAAAGACTACTAATGAGCAAAACTCAAATCCTGCTGGTGAAGAAGATGATCAAACCCAACTGTTATTTGGTAGAAAAAGGACCAGGACCCACACCCCTCCCAGTTGAAATTCAAAGTTATTGAAATTTGTTAGGATGAGTTGAGGTAGGCTTGACTTCAGGCTTATAGCATATAAGGGCAACTGTTCCCTAAAAATTGGAGCTCCTAGGCTGACCCCGACACCAGGTCAGGTGAGTGAATTTGAATAATGATTCTGAATGTATGAGGCAACGGAATCCACCAGGAATGGTGAACACATACTGTCCCTATTAACCTGGGGGGCAGGTTATGTGAGGCAATCCGACAAGCTCGCGCACTGATGACCCAGGCAGAGGGTAACCATGGGAAAAGAGTGTTGACAGTCAAGGTTTCAGAAAACTTTATAAAGGGCAGAAATTGCACTTACATTGACCTGGTGAGGTTTCAACAGGCAGGGAGAAGATGCTCTAGCATTAGCCATAGGAAAGCCAAAGAAAGTAGAACTTCTGCTAGCCGGATTTCATGTATGGCCCCTGGCCACCCACGAATGTCTGGTGACCCTACCAGTATCATGGTCTGGTGTCCTCCTGGGTTACCCATCAAGAAGTGACCTATGATTCCTCCAACCTCCAGGGGACAGGTATGAGCTCTGGCTCAAGTGCTGAGAGAGTAAAATCAAGTCTGACCATTTAGATATATGAATAAGCATGGGGAGAGGAGAAAAGAGGTTCAACTTCCTACTAATCAAGGTTTTCGTAGACTGGAGCAGCACCTCTGCAACTTCTCAAACAGCAACCTTTGTAAAATAATAAGAATGAATTACTTGAAAAATGCAATTTAAAAAGATACACAAAGCCCTAATTTTTTAGTTGGAATTCAATAAACGTAATCAGAACAAACATAACATAGGGAAAAATAATTACAGATCATATAGGTTGCTCACCGAAAGGATATGTTTGTGGGTAGAGGTGATTAATACACTTAACACATTGAACCAGAGCAGTGAGCGACATCTTAGCCCGGGCCTCCCTCCCCTGGGACACATGGTAGGTTGAAACTGACAATATATAAACAGGCTGTGAAATAAACAGATGACACAATTTAGGCCACCTCAGGTTCCTCCTGGCCGTCCCAGGACTGAGAAGCCCCTCTAAGCCTGGGGGACAAAATGAGAGGAAGCTCTTGCGGTCTCACAAAAATATACTGAAAGAAAGCTCCTCTGGCGGTGTGTGTGTGTGTGTGTGTGTGTGTGTGTGTGCATGCACGTTATGAGAAAGAGCACTTAATTACAATTCTTATTCACAGTCCCACTCTCTGTGATCAACTAATTGCAGGTGAGATTGGAAGCCTTGAACAAATCTTGTTTTACATAATATAAGTGGCGAGAATGTCGGATTAATTTGCGGATCTGGAAAATTCTCTCATGAAAAATCTGTACCGTGGTAAGCTTAGGGGGCTGCCACATAACGCAACCAGGAATCGGTTTTTAATGTTGAAATTCTTTCACTGTGTTAACATAGACTCTTCTTAATATATTACCCTTCGTGTTAAAAAAAGTTAACACTAAATTTTATTTATGCAAGATTTTTATTTTACATTTAGTTTAATGAGCAGTATCAAATTTTACAGTCCCTGTTTTTCAATTTTTAAGACTCAGAGGACACGGTTAATGTGCTGACTTGACATAAGGCGCTCCTCGCGGCAAATGGTGTGATCAGGTGTGGAACTCGGGAACGCTATAATCCCGAAGCAAAGGTCTTGTCAGGTGATAAGAAATCAAGATCTTCCTTCATCCTCTTCCCATGACTCCGTCGAGATGATGCCTCTCCATAAGACAAAAGAAGTCAAGGCTTTAAAATGCTGGGGATGGAGAGTAATAAAGCAAGTTGATGGATGCCGTCTGTGAATCAGTGCACAGCCGAGTGAGAAGCCCTGGGGTAGGACTGGGGTAGGACACTTCAGGGTGTGCTCTCTGCGGCCAGAGTGTCTGGATCTGAGTCCTGCCTTCACCTCTCCTTGTGTTATTTATTAAATGGTGACACCATCCGTAGTGACAACATCTTTCCTCATAGCCTCATTCTGAGAACTAAATACATTAAGACACGTAGAACTTGGAGAACAGTAAATGGTCAATAATTATTAGGTATTTTAACAACTCCAAACCAATGCAGGCCAAAATAAAATGTACAGAAAATATTTCTTATACCATGCTAAGAACTCGTAGACTATGTGAGGAAAGTTGATCTGCCAGAGGCTGTTCTGTGATTGGCTGCCTGCTGTTATTGACAACAGAGAAGACAAGCAGCCCCAGGAGCGTGGGGTCCTCACCTGGGTCTCTAACCGCATTAGGCTTTCTCAAAGGGCAATGGCTGATATTCACTGAGCACTGGCTTTGTGCCCTGCAAAGAACTAAACATTAACCTGTATCATGGTCTCTCTGAATCCTCACAACGACCAGGAGGAAATGATAACTGAGATTTAAGTAATTTGCCCAAGGTCAAAAAGGTCAAAAATTGCAGAGCTAATAGTTAAACCTGGTGGTTGAATCCTCGACTTCCCACTTTTATTCTACACAGTGTCGCTTCAATGAATCCTTTAACGTTTTCTTTTCTAAGACGCGTTTTAGGAGTGAGAGCCCGAGTTACCACTGGTCTCCACTGGGCTATCTTTCCTCTCTTGATCCGATAGATCACCTGGAAGAGTTTGAAGTCAATCCATATTTGGATTGACTTCAGCCGCAGTATTAACTTTTCATTACCTTCAGGAATGTGTCCAAAAAAAACCCTCGGGTTTTCTTCTGGTAGGTCATGAAACCTTAGGTTTTTGTTTTCGTTCTGTTTGTTTTTACCTATCCGCTGGGAGTAACACCCCTCTTGCGGGATCATCGTGACTATTTAAAAAACTAATTCGTGTTAAGTGCCTAATCGTGTGCTTGGACTATGGTAAATAGCTGAGGTTAATGTCGTCCTTGAACATTCCGTGTTTCCTCGGAGGGAAGGCAGCTTGCGGAGGGAGAAAGGAGACGTGAAGGAAGGCGTGGTGGTTTGAAGGGAACACTTCGGACACACACATGCTTGTGCCATGAAGATTTCTACTGCATTCTGGGGTCATACAAAGTCTCTCTTTTCTGCTACTCTACTTGCTGAAAGCTGTGTCCTTTTAAAGCATATGGGCAAGTATCATATTGTGTGTGAAAATCAAAGAGGCAGGAGTCTAAAAATATGTAACCTGGATTCTATTCCTGGCCTGCTGCAGACTCCCGTTAACTTATTAATATGTGTATGCCTCAATTTCTTAAACATATATATAGAATTAACTCCTTCTCCCCCCTTTCCCAGGAATTCTGGAGTGATGATTGAGCTTCCTCACACTGAGGAATTCTGTTGAAAGGAGAAATATGCATATATAAGGTTTATACTATTAGGTCACATAGGCTTCAGTTAGAAAAGTGTTTTGGTGACAGAAAAGGGGTTCTCTCTGTATGTTAACAGGAAACTGTGTTTTTGTCACTGGAATTTACTTTTTTGAAGAATTTTTAAGTTCTCATGTGAAAAGTTTCTGATGGTTTCCTTTTACAAAATTGAAAATGGTTGCACTGGCAAAAGAAACTTAGAAAATACCCACTTTATCATGCTGACCTTATGTTAGCTCAAAGAAGGTCTGGATTATCTAAGGGCACAAATCACTGTTCATTCAGTTTGCTAATTTCAGGTAAGTAATCTTAAATTTTGGAGTTGGGAAAATGGAGTATATACTTTTAAAATTATTTTTTTCCACCAGGTAATTTTCTTTTTATTATCACAGATTTCTCTACAGATATTTTATAATCAGGGCATGGTAATCCCCTGTGGAGGTGTAAATATGGGCATATATTTAATATGTCTATGCCCACTAGGACTTCACTCCATGAAATTCTGATTCAGTTTGGCCTGCCTTGGGATCTATAAACTCAAAATGATCCAAAGGTGATTCTAAAGCAAGTACTTAATTAAGCTATAATGTGGCTTTCACAGACTTTTAAAATATAAGAATAAGGTTAGCTTTTCCCTAGCATTGGCGGCCATATCCATAGAGAGAACATGCTACCAATTTCCCAGAAATGTTGTTGTCCGATCTTAAGTGTGTTTGGATACAGTGAAAAGTAAGAATGTGTAAGAGAAAGGCTAGGCCATCTTGCTTTATGTGGGCCCTAGCTCCAAGTTCACCTGTGTGGAACTAGAGCTTCTTTTGTGTTCTTTTGTCCTACCTTTATTCCTCATAAAATTTGCTGAAAGGGGTGAATCAGCAATATCCTTGAATCACTAGCATTTAGGAATCCCTGTTAGAGTTTGACAGCATTCAGTGGTAGCTCAGTGTGAAGTAGCAAGAGTATTTTTATTGTATGTAGTGTTTTCTTGGACTTTGACATTTTTCAATTTTCTTGGTTTACACGACTCTTTAAAATTAGTTTAACATCCAGTTCAGAGGGCTGCTGTTGCAGAAAATGTGGTTATGAAAGAGCAAAGCTTTTTGTAATCTGGAAAGTGATACACAAAAGTTGCCATCTAATTAAAAATCACCATCATGAATTTAATGATCCAAAGGATGCTGATCTTTTAAGCACATTTTACTACGTGCAGTTACTTAAACCCCACCTTTTGTAAAACGTTAAGACAGTTGTTTTGTTTTTTTAAACTTACTGATCTTTTTATTCACAGATACCACATGAAACTTTGCTTTTGTTTCTGGCAACAATGAACCGCATTGAAGAAAATTAATTGAACCTTGAAATTTTCAAAATGCTTGTAGAGCAAAGGTAAATAAAATTGTTTCAAACTGCAAATTGTTTTACATAAAATCTAGGACAGTTTTCTTAGAGAACAGAGTTTACCTTTATTAGAAGAGATTGTTCAAAGTAACTGTGAAAAAGGTTTTAAAAATAATTACCATGCTATTGTATGGTGATTGTGACAAATGCAAGCGATGCAGAAATTGAAAAAGTAAAAGGAGTGGTTCCTATTCTACCCTGTTCCCCATGCTCCAGAGACAATAACTATTAATAACTATTAATATATTGGTGTGTATTATTCCTATATTTTATTTACACATATGGATGCATGCTGCGTGTACACACACACACACACACACACTCAGTCTCTACCGGAGTTGATTTTAGTTTAGTTTTCTTTTAACAAAGATTATCCCTTTTTACATATTAAAGATGTTCTCAATGAATGTTTTAAGGCACCTCTGAGTTAAAAGCTCAGGTAATGCTGTTCTTGTGCTCATTTTTTGACTCAGAGGATATCAAGAGTGAAAAGCTGTTCATACCCAATTTTTCTTAGTGTCAGGGAAATGTACACCTGTTTTTAAGTTTTTGCATCTCTGTGTCTCCCCAGGGGATTAAGCTTTTACTCGGGGGATTTCTGGTTGGGGGGAAAGGGTCTGCACCACAGTCTCACTCTAAGTGATTATTATCACACCGGTAAATTTCCACTGTGGCTGCTGGGTGCAGGCTGTGAGCACATTTGAAGTCAGCAGGGGACCGTTAGAAACCTCCCCTTTGCTGAGAGGAGCGGTAGAAACCTCTGCTTCATCGAAGCACACTAGCAACCTGCGGTCAGTTGCTTCTTTTGTCATGCAGTGCTGTTTTAAACTGTCTTCTCTCCCACAGAGCAAAAACACACTCGACCAGGGGAAAAAAAAAAAAAAAGTACAAACAATCCCCATGAGTGTTTTTGAATTTTCCTCTGCTAATCTCACTGGTAATGGTAGGAGGTCTTGCCAGGAGACATTTGTGGTTTAGGCACCCTAAATAACGTAACATCCCCACACTTCAGAACAATTAATACCAAGTATCAAATCAAACACTATTGGATACAAAACCTAGACTATGAAGTTGACCTTTCTACCTGTCTTATGAAAAAAATCTTTACAGATTGCTGAATTCTATATGAGGAGGCATATTTAGTAATCTGTAGAAGATAGTGGACACTCTACTTAATAATGACATAATTACATAAATTGCATACTGTGAAGCTTGCATATTAGATCATCAGCAAACGATTATCCCATTTAAAATAAAAATGCTCTCCAGTAGTTAGTGAAAAGTGATTCAAATCTACATCCCTTATCTATACTTGTCCTTTGCTGGCAGTGAACTTAGCAGCACTTAAATTCCTATTCAGTACAAACTGACATGATGTTGTCCTTGGTTGAAAGCATTGACTTTTCTACCAAATGTAGTTTAGGTAGAATTACCATTTATAGTAGGAATTTCAGAACGAATTCAGAAGTCGTATTAATTAAAAAGCATCCCACAACTTTTACCTCTAAGCCACCTAGGATTAATGAATCTCCTATCAAAAATATTTTGAAATTTGTATTGTATGTACAACATGGTATTGAGAAGTCTGTTTAGCTACAGATATCATTCCTCCTCTCAAGTAGTTAAGAAACTAATGATAGAGAAAAATGCCATCAGCAGATGGCTAATAAACGGGTGTAGGTTGTGGTGATGAGGTACTTCCAGCAGGCTATTGGCTTTATTTATTTGTGTATATATTTCTTGTCTTGTTAACTGAATCATAATAATAAATCATAAACTTAAAAAACTATTGAGAATAGAAAAATTTATAGTAGTGATAATTTTATCACTTTCACTGCCTCAAGGGACACTAGTTAGGTAAAGAAACGATTAGTTTGAAAACAAAACTATCAAAGGCACTCAGGTGCCTCAGTAGGTTAAGCATCTGTCTTCTTCTCAGGTCATGATCTCGGGGTCCTGGGATAGAGCCCTGAGTTGGGCTCCTTGCTTCTCCCTCTCCATCTGCCTGCCGCCTCCCCCATCACCAGCTCATGCTCTTTCTCTGTCTCAAATAAATAAACAAAATCTTTAAAAAAAATAAAAACCATGTGTTTTTTCAGTGTATTGGTTATTGATGCTGACATTTGATTAATTTGATCTTTGGCATTTGCAATTAAAAGTACTAACATCATCATTTGGAGTGCTAGGGTTGATTATGAGGATTTAGAATTTTGTTATCTCTTTTTTGTGACTTTAGGCCAAATATTTATCTTTCTGGGCTTTGATGTCTCCCTTGAAACAGATACAATTATTTCTATCCCATGGCTTTGCTTTAAGAATAAGGAAGTCTTCAGAGCAGGAGAGGAAACCTCTGGATTCCTTTCCCCTCCCAAGGGGAAATAGCTTCTGTCTCCCCTCTTGCCTCTATCCCCACAGAGGAGGGACAGGGCTCTGATTCTCTGACCTTCTTTCAATCATTCTTGATGTTCCTGATTCTTAGGTTCCAAGTACTCTTTCTGTTTCTTCCCCTGTTACCACTGCTGTTCCTCTCTTGTCTCTGGCCCCATTGGGTTTCTGGAACCTCCGCCTTCAAATATTAGTAAAAGATGCAAGATCTGATGTAAGAAGAGGAGACAACTCTGATGACCTTAGCAGGCAATTCATGAATAAGACAGAATTTAGGTTTTTCTGGTAGGAGGCGCCCCATGTCTCTGTGGTTGGGGGTCCATGGAGGCAGGGAGTAGCGTGGGGGAGAAAGAGGTCTCTGAATGGGCTGGCTGCTCCTTGTCATCTCTCAGTCTATTTAACTCACCCTATACTAGGAGGACTTCCTTTAAGAGATGTTCAGTTAGCTGACAGAGCTTCTTAATTTTCTGTGCTGTTGAGAAATTATATTGTTTGTTGTGTTTCCATGGATATCTCATTGGGAAATATTTCACTGGAAAGGCAGGGGAGTTTGAATCACATATGGTTCAACAATTGCCAGAATGAACCCAAAGTATCTTGAATTGAATTTAAAAAATATATATTTTTAAGGATTTCTTTTGTTTTTAAGTAATCTCTATACCCAAAGTAGGGCTCGAACTTACAACCCTGAGATCAAGAGTCACAAGCTCTACTGCCAAGTGCCCTGAATTAAAAATATTTTTGACACAAGTAATACATATTTACTGTAGAAAAATTAAAAGGCACAGAGATGGTTTAAAATCATAAATATATTTTCACTATTTTATACAACTATTGTTCAAATTTTGTTGTATTATACTTCTAGAATATGTGTCTTATAAGTCAGTAGGTAATTTACATTAATATTATCAATTACTATTACATGTAATATAATATTACTTATTCTATATTATATGACATAAATAGAATAAGAAACTCTGATAGCTTTTTAAAAAATATAACAAATATGTAGTTCTTTCTATGTCAATAAGTGCATTTTTATAGAAATATTTTTGTTACATGTCTGTTTCCTATTGCTTTTGTTTTTGTCAACCTTATATTTTTCAATTTATTTTGTTGATGCTGCCATTTGATCTGGTAATTATAACCAAAGTTTTAAAACCTAGAAATTTTTTTTAAAGACTTGGATTCTGTGTGATAAATACATATTGTTTTCAGTACTACTACTTAATACATTATTCAATTTCTTTTTTTTTTTAGTAGTATTAATATTTGCTTGTCCAGTTTAAGCAAAGTGTGGGGTTCAGCCATTTTGTCATCAGGGATCTGCATGTGTTTGTCTCTCTGCATTTGCAGTTGAACTACTCCGACCCACAGGTTCCTGAAGTCTTAGAGTCTAAGGTCATGTCTGTTTTGTGCTTAACTTGAAGACCAATCAAAACAGATAGAAATCATATAAATTCTTATTTTTACAACAGAATGAACAAAAAAACAAAAGTGTTTATTGAAATCAAATTTTTCTTTTGCACAGCTAATTGCTAAAGTAATTATAAGTAATTAGGAAGGCTTTTGCTGGTTCAAGTTATTATGTATGTGGATATATATTTATATTTATATATAAATCACTGAAGTTTATAGTTTTTCACTTAGTCTTTAAGATGAAAATATGTAGATTTTTATCACACATAAGTGCTATAAAAAACAGGGCTTCTTGTAGCATTTTGAGATCCCTAAAGAGTGGGTTCTCTATCCATGAAATGTCCGATCTTGATTTATTCTCATTCTGTTCAGCTCACCTCCCTCATGGCTCACTGAACCACAAGAGAATGGATTTCCTGAAATGGTAACTTTGGCTTTCAAGGAATCACTTTGTGTCAAATCATTCATTATTCTGAGACAACTTTCTCCAGTTGTCTTGAGTGACCCAAACTCCTTACTAGGGTTAATTTTGAGAAACTAACCAAGAGATTGGTTAGAGTAAGTGAGTCTTTTCTTTTTGGAATAAGCAGGTACTTTTAGAAACTATATTCCTATTGGAGGGAGGAATATTAACTTAAGAAAAATATAGTGTCATTTTTTTTTGTCATGAATTAGATTTCTTCCTCTTATAGGTATGGTTGCACCGTTCTCATTTTTAAAGGGGTTAGAGAGGTTATAGGGGATCATTCGAACACATTTGATAGTAAATTTAAGGGTCCATCTGGTCTTCTCTGTGTTTATGCATCTATAAGTGAAAATAGATCAATAAACACACAAATGTGTTTTGTTACTTTAATTAATCTAATGTTACTAGTGAGGAGACCTTTGAATGCACTGAAATTCCTTTCACATGCTGATTAGTATACTTTTATATCCTAATATTCTCTTTTTTTAATGGGGGGGATAGTGTCTCACTTAAACCTGTGATATAAGAGGCTCTGATACAATTAAAATGAGCCAAGCAGCTGTGGAGATATTTCTGCACCTCCTTGATGAAGAATTAATCTAGTTTGATGGATGTCTTTATTTCTATCTTAATCACAGCATGCAAGATTAGCAATACATGTGTTTCACTTCAATTAATTACTCAGAATGCATACACAAATACAGGGCTTTATTTCAATTAATTACTTTGAATTTCAATGAACTTAAAAGAGATCACACCAAAAGTATCCATCAGAGTCCTCAGAAAAATCTAATGAATGTTAGAGAAATTTGCAACCTCCTCCAAGTCTAGATTTTTTGCCATCATGGTGAAAAATCTGAAAGTACAAACATGTACAATTTATAACAATAAATCAGATAATTGTGTGACCTAATATCCTGTCTTTAGTTACAGTCATTACCTGAGGGTTCAAAGAACAGAAAAACTATTAGATTAACAATGTCGTAGTTATAGGAAAAAATGGAAAGGCATATGTTCTTACTCATACACTGATCCACCATTTATGACCCCAACCATAAATTTTGTTAGGGACTATCCTGTCATGCTGCCCTTGGAAAAGCTTATAGATTTAAGACAAGATTATTTTCTCACTTTCATTGCATAGGCTAAAATTCCAAGTTCTAAACACCTCCTTATGCAGGAGTATTATGTAAATAAACTACAAGAATTCTCTTTAAACTTAGAAACTAGAAATGATCCTTTGATCTTGCAATTTTATAAAGGGTTCAAAATTGAGAAAAAACAGTAATAACAATTACAATAACAATAATGGAATATGGACTGAAAAGAAACAGGAGGAAAAGGCTCAAATAAAATAAAAAGCCATGTAAACCTCTGTTTTATTCATCAGAGACCAAGACCTGTAGCTGGCTAAGTATCCCCTGGAGAGAAGACAGCATGCTATCCAGGATGCTGGAGTTCACAAGAAAGGTATCCTGTAGAGACCTAACACCAGAAGTAATAGAATCACGTGAAAAATCAAAATTTATTAGAAAGAACATTTGCTGGAGAAAGAGAAAAAGTGATGAGAACAGCAGTAGAAATGTTACTTAAAATTAGGTAAAGAAAGCCATTAAAATTTTCAAAAAAAAATGACTGAGAAGAAATAATTTTGTGGCAGGAACAATGTTAATTCGCTATAACAAAAACAAATTGAGAACTGTGCAAATATATTTACTAAAAATGTATCTCTAGCCAGCTCGATACTTTTCCATGAGTGCCATCGTAGATGTCTCCACGACAAAAGGAAGGACACATTTTTTCCAATTTTATTTTAAAATTTATTCCTATTTCAAGGAGAAGTGCCTAATCTACTGAACTGGGAGGACTCCATCAAGAGTGCTACGCAGAAGTTAGTATCAATTTACTTTCTAACTCTAAGCATTTTTGTGATAAGATGTAAAGGATGCAATGTTACACACACACACACACATACACACACACACACGTATTGTATACATACACATTGTATATATATATATGTATAAATGTGTCAATATATACCAAGATAATAGTATATAAATACATAATATACATAAAAAGTTTTGTTTTTGTTTTTGTTTTTAATTTAGCGGGTCACCTGGGTGGCTCAGTGGTTAAGCCTCTGCCTTCAGCCCAGGTCATAGTCTCAGCGTCCTAGGATCAAGCCCTTCATGGGGCTTTCTGTTCAGCAGGGGGCCCGTTTCCCCCTGCCCCTCTGCCTGCCTCTTTGCCTACTTGTGATCTCTCTCTCTCTGTCAAATAAATAAATAAAATCTTGAAAAAAAGTATGTTTATTTAGTGCCCTAGCAGCAAAACTCAATGGAGTTAGCTTAATTTCTGTACTTTGTTAGAGGATGTACCCTAACACCATTTGCATCCTGTCATAAGGCAAAAGTATTCATACGACAGAGTAACAGCCACAGGAAGTTTAAGTTTGAAAAACAGTCTTAAGGAATTGCCTTCCTAGTTCCAATTTGGCTCTCTTGTTACATGAGCATTTAAAAGCTCTTCTAAAAGAAAGCAAAGCAAAATAAAACAAAAACAATAATCAAGAAGCCCCCACACCTTTCAAAAGCTCTGCTGGAAAAAAAAAATGACAATAAACAGGGAAAATAGTAATTTGTCAAAATTTCAACTTAACAGGTTAAGCTTACAATATAACACATGTTCAAGAGCCCCTTCTGAAAAAACTAAAGAGATGAAAATACTTCACACATTGCTGATATCTTCTTGAGAAAGAGTAGTCCTGTTGAAGGTACAGTTGCTTTCTGGCTTCTCTTAGAAAATCTAAATTCCAACATAGTTGTTAGATGAAACTATACAATCCAAACCTCCTCTTATTGACAATGGAATTTGGCTTTGGGTAAGTGACTTCATTACTCATCCATTAGTTATTCTTTAAACAAAAGCGGTTTTGTTGCTCAACTTAGGATCTGAACAGATAAACGTCCAACACCCTTTGCGCTGAGACTTGGAGTGGTGCCAAAGCCATCTTGAGAGTTCAAGAGTAAAGGCTACAATGTTACAGGATCTGAATATCAGATCCATTCACATTTAATCAATGTCCTTGAGCTGCAAAATACACAAATAATTGCTTTTCCGGAGATTACTCAATTTTAAACTTTTTTATGGTTACCAAACTGGAAAGTTCAGTTTTTCTAAAGTCAGTATACTCTATTGTCACAAGAACAATTAGAAATAACTCACATTATGAAAGTGGAGATTGTTCCAGAATAGTTTGGAATGAGACAGAATGTAATGGATCATTTCTATCTCTGAATTATAATGAGTTATCCAGATAACAAAAAAGGTGGTTTCTTTTTAGTGTACATTGATTAATAAATGAAAGAAACAGTTGTAAACCAAGTCCTTGTAAAGATGCCAAAACAAGGTGGATTTCCCATACGAGGTGTTTAGAAATCAGGGACATGTATGAAAGCTTATTGTTATGTCAGAACAATGTTAGTGGCTGAGGAATTTTGTTTTGGTTTAAAAATAAGCATATGTTAAAACAGGGAATAAAATAGACAAAAATCATAATTTAGTTGTTGGATTCAGTTCCTTATTACTTAATACCTAACTTTTAAAGATACTGAGCCTGCAAAATAAGTGAATGTTTGTAGCTAAAACTCTCTTTCCGTTTGAAAAAGCATTGTTTAGTACTGCCTGATTTTCTTTGACATTTCTACTTTCACACATGGTTATTTTTGTAAATGTCCTGCTCATAATACTACATAGATTATGGAGATCTGCTTCAAGACACTGAAAAATAGTTAAGACTAGAGAAACTTCTGTCAGGTGAAAAATCAATGGGCATATCAGTCCATATATGCACATATACATACATACACATATGCATAATCTATATTTACATATTAGCTCGCATTAACCCAAGGGAGATGAGAAATAGTATGCATTCTTCAATGGAATCTGTTGCCATTCTACTTGTATCTGAAGTACCTTTTATTGAATAATAGTAGATATTCAATAAATAGTTATTGAGTTTCCAAAATAATTTAAGCTTCTTATACTAAAAATAAAGCCCAGTATTCAAGAGGGATTTCATTTGCTTTCCGATATCACAGGTTAATTTCTAAAAATGTGTTGCCTTTATTTTAAAACCATTGTGCCAAGGTAGCTCAGTCTCTTCATAATTGAAAGCTATTTAATTGAAAGGTGATCCTTATTCTTAGATTTAAACAGCCATGGCCACTGACTGCCCAGCTTTGGGTTATCTCCAGATCAAAAAAGAAAAGAAAGCTTAATTGAACTAAATAACGTGAATTGGCACAGTTGCTTGTCTACGTTATTTGTTTTAATACTTCTCTGCAAATGGTAATGATCATTTTCCTGGGAGAGCTTAAGTCAAGGATAGCAGGTTCAAATGCCTCAGGGGCCAGGCCTGTAAGTACCTTCTGGAGTTGCTGGGTGGGAAGAAGACTTGGCAGGAGACGCTGGTGTACTCTAGTTAAAGGTATTTCCGTTCTGTCTTCGCTTTTTAAAATGGTGGGTTCCTCAAACAAAACCAATTGCCTCCCTAACATTTGAGGCAGAGGGGCTAAATTAAACTGAATATACAACAGTGGTTCTCCAGTGGCCTCTGCAAAAAGCAGGCACAGGAACGGGAATGACTGGATGCGTTTGCTAATGCAAATTTTAGTTCACAGTTGGAAATTTAACTCCATAGGCCCAGGAACCCATACTTTTCTGTGCAGACCAGTGTATATTTCTAAGAATGTATTGCTAAAAATATATGAAGGATCATCAAAGTAGATGCGCGTTTCAAAAATGATCAGAAATGATAACAAGTGACTGAAGAAGTAGTGTTTGCTGAAATGGGAGGTCAGAGGAGAGGCAATCCTGGTGTTTAATATTGGTTTGTTTTACACATTCCGATCTATTATATTTGTCCTCTTTGAGCTTTGCTTTTGTAAAATTCAGACAGAGTGTGCAGTGGAGTTCAAGGAAGAGAAATAATGTGAGTATATAGATTAATACAAATAAGTCCTCAATGGTGTGTTGCAATTTGTTTTTGTTCTTCCTGTTGGTATATTCCCACCTGTTGAAACGAGTGTTTCCTAGAAGATAAAATGCTTATGATTATCCACTTCTAACTGAGAGGCAGAAGTGGTATGAACTATGGGAAGATACACCTCTCTTTACCATGATCTCAGGAGTCATATCAGCCGACAATTGTCTAAACTGTACTTGTTTTCCCAATCTACTACTTTTCAGAGTGATTATGTTCAGTAGAGAAAGCATTTCAACTCGACTTTTTTCCACCTGACCTGTTTGTCTTGCTGTGGTTGTCTCTTCAGCTTTTCAGTTTGTCACCCTCAGACCGACAACGACCACCATCTAGCGCCCCCTCTCCCCTCTCCAGGTGAGTGTTAGCTCAACCTCTGTGTTGTTTCCTGTGCTGATTCCTGGATGGGGCCTGGAGATCCTGCAATGCTCAGACAGGCCATGTGGTGAGCAGTGGCTCTCAGCAGCACATGGAGCCCAGGCAGATGGAGCAATTTCAGTGTCAAGAAGATTTAGGCAAGAAGAGGTAGCCAGCAGCCTAGGCAGAAGTCAGTGTGGAAGGGACTGTAGTTATGGGCATGGGGATTCAGAACAAAGTCTAAGTATCAGCAGAGTGCTGGGGGTGGTAAGTCTGTCTTCCAGTCCTGGAGCAACTCCAGTCCTGAATGGGAACCAAGGTAGAAGCATCGGAGAGACAAGAATCCTCTCCCAGCGGCAGAATAAGATGTCTAGTCTTAAGAGTTCTTAGATTCTTAATCTAAGAACCTAGTTTTCAAAAGCTGGGTTTAAGGTCAGAATGAGATTTGATTCTAAGATGGCTCTTGGGATTCGTAAAATCTTCCTCCTTAGCATCAAAGATTTGTCCCAGAATCAGATACCAGAAGTCAGAGAATTTAGTTGACCTGTTCAAGATCACAAGCTAATTAGCACTGGTGCCAAAATTAGATCCCAGGTTTTCAGTTCTAGACCAGGACTCTTCATTCCATACCAGAAGTGCATAAAGAAATATTTAATTGTTTTTGACATATTCACTTGTCAATGTTGTTTCATAACTATAAAGAGAATTAATAATTAGGGACAGATTACTGGAGAGAAAATGAAGTAAGTCACAGGCGTATCTAGTAAAGATATACACAAATTTGTCTTGGATTTTCAGAAAGCCTCCAAATTGACTGATTTTTCTGATTATTATTTATATATCTCTATAAATTGATCATAGATGGGTTCATTATAGGTTATCAACAATCATACGATTTTCAGATTGGAAAATTCCATTATAAGCTAATTACTGAAAAATACATAATTCCATGTATCTATCTCACTATAAAATTTTCTTTTCTTTCATTCTCTAGACTTAGCATTTAAGACTTTTCTTGAGGGACACCTGGGTGGCTCAGTCAGTTAAGTGTCTGCCTTAGGTTCAGGTCATGATCCCTGAGTCCTGGGATCGAGCCCGGTGTCGAGCTCCCCGCTCAGTGAGGAGTCTGCTCCTTCTCTCCCTCTGCCCCTCCCCACCCTTGTGGTTTCTCTCTTTCTGTCAATAAATAAGTAAAATCTTAAAAAAAAAAAAAGACAGTTCTTGAGATTTTATATTATCATGGTTTGAATGTTCCTGTCCTTGAATTGACCTAATAACCTAATTTGAAGGGAAAGTTTATACAGGATAGATTCCTGTATTATTTGAAAATTCAGCCATTAATTCAAAGCTATTAGCACACTATCCAGTCAAAATTTCATTGATAGTTTTGCTTTCTGTTCTTGCTTTATAACCTTACAAGTTAGCACAGACCGCTCTTCATATTGGAAATCACTGTTTCACCTTCATCTTGCAGAATTAGTATAAAAGGAAAAAGAAACTCCTATTAACCAAAACACAAAAAACAAGTATATTTCAAAAATGTATCAGCTAGGGCGGCTGGGTGGCTCAGTGGGTTAAAGCCTCTGCCTTCGGTTCAGGTCATGATCCCAGGGTCCTGGGATCCAGCCCCCCATAGGGCTCTCTGCTCCGCAGGGAGCCTGCTTCCTCTTCTCTCTCTGCCTGCCTCTCTGCCTGCTTGTGATCTCTGTCTGTCAAATAAATAAATAAAATCTTAAAAAAAAATGTATCAGCTGATGTTGCTTAAAGATGAACAACAGTATTACAGCACAGTTTTTTAAAATTTATTTTTATATATATATTTTTTATTTAAATATTTTATTTATTTATTTGACAGAGAGATAGTAGGGGAGGCAGTAGGCAGAGAGGCAGTCAGGGGGCAGGGGGGATGCGGGAGAAGCAGGCTCCAGGATGCAGGGCTTGATCCCAGGACCTGAGATCATGACCTGAGCTGAAGGCAGAGGCTTTAAACCACTGAGTCACCCAGGCGCCCCAGCACAGTTGTTTTAGATATCCCAGGGTTTTGTTTGTTTTAAGCAGAATTTTTTTTTTTTTTTTTAAACATCAGCGTCATTGAGCTTTCTGACCACCATGGGTCAAGGACATTGATGTTACAGTTTCATTTACTCCACAGAATCACACTGAAAACTTAAGGCGGGCAGTAAGGCGAGCAGAACACTGGGCTTCTGACATCAGAGGGCCTGGGGAAGATGCAGGTGTGGGGAATGGGAGGAGAATGGGCCAAGGCAGGAGAGATTTTTGAGTGAATTCCTGGCACTGACAGTATAGATTCAGGCAATCGAGAGTAACATGAGATTTTTATTTATTTATTTTTTTACCAACCAAGGAAGCAAGAAAGAGTGAAAAAATGAATGGCATGTCCAGGGATTGGGGAAAATATTCGGAAGAACTGGAAAGAGGAGAAAATGTCATGTGGTATCTATAACAAGAGGCTACACTCTTGCTCCTGAAAGCGTAATTCAAGCCCTAGGTATGTCCGCACGTACCGTGAACCAGTTAGAGCCGCCAACCCTGGAGCCAGGATCGACTTTTAACAACGTACCCTGGAAGACAGGACGCACGTTGATGTTTGTGATGAGATTTTGGGGAGCCTGTTTTTTGACATTAAAATCAATAAAATATACGCTCAGATAGTATCAAAATTACTTAGGAAATTATTCTTTGAAATTTGAATTTCACATTTTAAACTATGGGAAAATGCTAGAAATCTTACCAAATATTAGCAATGCTTGTTCTGTCTCAATTTTCTTAAGGCATGTTTAAGTACCAAGGTATTTATGAAGTATGCAAGCAGTCAAAGATTCCCATTAAGTATTTTATTTTAATGCATTGAAATGAAATGATGGGCTTGTTTTTAAATTGAAAATGGTACTCCTTTCCGGTTTTTGTTGTAACTGGATGCAGCATTTTTCTTTTACAACATTATTTTTAAAAAATGTGTGAATATAAAGCATTGAGATTGCTTTAAAAACTCTACTAACAGGCGCCTGGGTGGCTCAGTCGTTAAGCATCTGTCTGCCTCCGGCACAGGTCAGGATCCCAGGGTCCTGGAATCAAGTCCCGCATTAGTCTCCCTGCTCAGCGGGGAGCCTGCTTCTCCCACTCCTACTCCCCATGCTTGTGTTTGCTCCATCCCGCATCAAATAAAAAAACAATAAAATCTTTAAAAAAATAAAAAAAATACTAACATAATAAGGTTCTCTTTGTTGATCTCGGTATAGGTTACATGGATGTGTTCAGTTTGGTGAAAATTAGTTGGGCTGCGTGGTCATGCTATATATATAATTCTGAACGTGCGTGCATGTGTGTGTATAATTCAGTTTCAATTATAAAAGAAATCTATACCAGCAGAGCACACCTACTACCTTTAAAGAAGCAGTAGACTTGTGGGACTTTATACATAGTCCCAAATGCTGAAATTACTCAAATTATTTAGGAAATGTCTCTGGGGGTGTATGGAGGGTTTCAAAACAGCCTTTTAGTGTTAATTTGCAACTCCCACAATGCCTCTATCATGCTTGCTGGGTTACAGTCCCACACACCTTATTTCATGTTGTTTTGTTTTGTTTAAATTTGTTCATTACCCAGCTTAACCCAATTATGCGTTAGTCTTGGCTGCACATACCTTTTAATGTTGTTTAAAAAATTCAAACCTATCACCTAAAACAAAGTTTGGCCATAGAAACAGATATTCAAAAATGACAAGTTCCAAAAAATAGTTTCAGCAAGGTCCGTGTAATGGGATAAATGTCAGTTTCCCTGATATCTGGTTTCAAGGAGTTTACATTGAGACCTTTATATAATCCTGATATATTTGATAAAGTATTCATTTCATTGCCTTGAAAATATATCAAATAGCCAAAGAAAGGGGAAATGCTAAATTCAAATTGTACCACTTTTCTTTAATTATACATGAAAACTTGAGTCAAAGGTAGAAACAGGGTAAAGCAGTTCACTATAAAAATGATAGAAGGTTCTAGGTCAAGTTGGCTATTGGAAATAAAGCCACTATCATGTTTCATCAAATATTAGGATTCAATGCCAAGGGTTTTCATTATATACACGGTACAAAGTACTTTATAAATCACCATATTTGCTGACATTCAATTACATTCAGTCATATTAATATGAACTGCAGAGTGTTTTTAGATGTCTACTGGCAGTAAAACCAGACTTTTCATTACAAAAGCTTGGCATTCACACATGGCCCCAAAGTTCACGTAACACCTTGAAACATCCAAGGTACAAATGCTAATTATTTTTAAATGTTTCACACTACAGATTAATTACCTATGAACCTTAAAAATAAACACCTGTCCATATACAGTTAAATAAGGTTAACAGACTTTGTACAAATCAGGTAGTGATTTTCCTAAGAAAATGTAGTCCTTCCCCATCTCTTTCTCTAGGATATTTATTTTGCACAATAATTTATTTTTTTAACTGAGTGAAACTGTTGCATTTGTAAAATAATCCCAAAGTCTCTAGGAGAGGAAGCACCTGTCTCTGTTTTTGTAGTGATAGTGCCTGAGCTGAACACGTCATGTTGAATGATCAGACTCAGTGTTTTACCATTCTCACACTTCCAGGTAATGGAAACTCATCTCTTGTCTCTATTTGATATATTATTTCCCAACTGAAGAATTCTTATGATGCCTTTTAGATCAGAGGTTTGAAACACTGGGTGTATTGGAGTCACTTAAAAAAACTATGGATTCCTGCAGCTTATCCTGCTATTTTGATGTAATGTTCTGTGGGATGCCTGGGGATGGTATTATTATTATTAAATATTATTTATTACTATTGTTATTATCACCATCATTGTTATTGTTGTTATTATCCCCTGGCAATTCTAATAGGCAATCAAAAGTGAGAACCACTCTGAGATCATGGTTGTTAGGAGATGAATGCCTCTATGTAATTTTGTAAGTAGTAGAAGAGAGAGGAGATATTCTTGGAAGATGTTTTTGAGGCTACCACAAATTTTAAGGACATTTATATGACCCAAATGATTTTTTGAGATTTATTTGCATGTATATATTATACTGTATATACATGTCTATAGATATATACTTGGATATATGCATATATCTGTACATATATCCATATATACTGGAATGCATGTGTTATGCCCCATAGTTACATAGAAATAAATATTTTATTTGAATTCAATTTAATATCAATTAGTTCAAAGCAAGGCATTTAAACCTTAAAAGTATTCTCTCAGGTATAAAAGCACCTTGATGAGAAATATTTATTTATGACCACAAGGGGGTGCTTATGATCTGCAAATGGTGTAATTCAGAATTAAAGTAAAATTGGTAATTACATATGCAACTTCAAATAATTTGCTACCTATGAATTTTTCTTTTCCTAGAAATAAATGTTATGATTTATAGTGACAGTAACAGAAACTGCTTTCTATGCTGTCTGTATAATTTCTGCATGCCCACAATGCAGTAAAAGATTCTTTCTGTGGAAAATATTTTCCTGTAGAGATGTTACTTAAGTTTAAGTTTTCAAATTTTAATCCTTGGCTATTGTTATAGCATAGATTTGTTAAATACATTTTAGAGGGGCATATAGAAATGCTTCCTACATCTAATTTTCAAAATATTTCTAATATCTAATTTATTTTCCATGAAAATATTATAGTTTTACCAGAATAAAAAAGTAACATTTATTTTTCTTAGGGCTATCAATGAAGCTGAGTAGATTTAATTTCTTCATTTGTTTTCTAATTTATGAAACAGATTTGGAATGTGCTCAAAGTTGACAAATAGTCAATTTTTTTTTTTTTAATTTTAAGAATTTGAGGAGATAGGGGCACCTGGGCAGCTCAGTCATTAAGCATCTGCCATTGGCTCAGGTCATGATCCCAAGGTCCTGGGATAGATCCCTGCATCGGGCTCCTGCTCGGCGGGAAGCCTGCTTCTCCCTCACCCACTCCCCCTGCCTATGTTCCCTCGCTCTCTCTCTCTGTCAAAAAATAAATAAAATCTTTAAAAAAAAAAAAAAGAATTTGAGAAGATAAACATTTCACTTGGTTTGGACTTTAATTATTTTTCAAAAGTTAACATTTTGATGAAGGAACATTCTAAAGTATAAACAGAAATCATCTATAGAATTTATACCAGTAAATGCTATGCACGCCTTTTATTCTGAGGCAAAAAGTGTCTGGATTTCATGAATAAAGAAGGTAAGTTTCTTGTTCTCAAGGAATGTACAGTTTAGTGAATGTTCAAGTCTTACTACAGTGGGGATTCAGAAATTTGTGGTTCCCTCTCTGTTTCATCCTTTCCCCCAAGACCATCTTGTTATGCCTTAGGACTGAACAGCTTCCCATATGGGAAGACTCAAAGCACCCTCCTTTGGAAGGTGAGCAGCATGGTGAGCTTGTAAGGCAAGCATGTTATGACTTCCAAAAGGAGATATTTGACTCTTTTACAAAACACAGCTGTAAGTAAAGCAGAGAAGCGCCTTTGAGCTAAACCATGAAAACATATTTTTAGTATTCCCAAAGCAGCTTGCTTATTTTGGAACAACTTCCTAGCTGCCCTGTCCTCCAGTGGTCCAGCAAGCTGTATCAGACTGAGTTCTTCATGAATGTGTTCAACTGCTTCCCTGTTGTAGCCCTCCAAAGACCCTCCTGTTGGAGATTTCAGCCCTCTATAGCCTCTCCCTTTTATGGAAACATTTATCTCCACTCCATACTTTTCCATTTTCCATCACGTGCCCATTTGTGTGCAATTTTATTTAGGAGGATGTAGGCCGTTTTTACTCTGAGGTCCGTCTAAGCTTCCGAAAATTAATAACTGTTAAAAGTCTTCAGAGATGAGACTAAATATAGTTATAGTCAATGTCATTTAAATCAGGATTTTCTTGCTGCTGAGATTCTACAACTTTGACAAATAACCACATGAATTTTGGTCACTCTTGCCTGGGACTCTTAACTTGGGCTCAGGATTCTTATCACTGGGTCTCACTTACTGGCACCCTGTTATAGGATCTCAAATGATGACTTGCCCAGATGGCTTACCCCTTCCTGTTGAGTCTTCTCACCTAACCCCACCCTTCTCCCCTCCAAAACCCTCAGTTTCTTTCTCAGAGTCCACAGTCTCCCATGGCTTGTCTCGCCCTCCAATTTCCCCCAACTCACTTCTCTTCTCCATCTCCCAGTGTCCTCTGTGTTATTCCTTATGCTCCACAAGTAGGTGAAACTATATGATAATTGACTCTCTCTGCTTGACTTATTTCACTCGGCTTAATCTCCTCCAGTCCCGTCCATGTTGCTACAAAAGTTGGGTATTCATCCTTTCTGATGGAGGCATAATACTCCATAGTGTATATGGATCATATCTTATTTATCCATTAGTCTGTTGAAAGGCATCTCAGTTCTTTCCATGGTCTGGCAACTGTGGCCATTGCTGCTATGAACATTGGGATACCGATGGCCCTTCTTTTCACCACATCTGTATCTTTGGGGTAAATACCCGGTAGTGCAATTGCAGGGTCATAGGGTAGCTCTATTTTTAATTTCTTAAAGAATCTCCACACTGTTTTCCAAAGTGGCTGCACCGACTTGCATTCCCACCAACAGTGTAAGAGTGTTCCCCTTTCTCCACATCCTCTCCAACACACGTTGTTTCCTGTCTTGTTGATTTTGGCCATTCTAACTGGTGTAAGGTAGTTATCTCAATGTGGTTTTGATTTGAATCTCCCTGATGGCTAATGATGATGAACATTTTTTCATGTATCTGTTAGCCATTTGTATGTCTTCATTGGAGAAGTGTCCGTTCATGTCTTCTGCCCATTTTTTGACTTGATTATCTGTTTTGTGTGTGTTGAATTTGAGGAGTTCTTTATAGATCTTGGATACCAACCCTTTGTCTGTAGTGTCATTTGCGAATATCTTCTCCCATTCCATGGGTTGCCTCTTTGTTTTGTTGACTGTTTCCTTTGCTGTGCAGAAGCTTTTGGTCTTAATGAAGCCCCAACAGTTCATTTTCGCTTTTGTTTCCTTTGCCTTTGGAGAACATAACTCTTAAGACACCATTTCCAACTCCAAAGGCTTTTGCTTCACTAGGCTCTTACTATGCCTGTAAACACAGAATTTTCTTCTGTCCCAAGATCTGGAAGATTCCTCTCTGCTCATATCTGTCTGATTCTTTGTTGCCTAATTTTTGAGGCAGCTTTCCTTCATTGCTTTCTGGAGCTGATAGGCTTATCTTGGCGTCATTCCTGGGAGCAAGTTATAAACTTAAAAGGACTCAGTTAGAACCCATTGTTTGAACTAAGCCTGCTGCCTACACTTGATTTTATTGAAATGAGATTTGTTTTAAACTAGTGGATAATCCTGCAGATACTCACAATCAGTGAGTGAACCAAGATTAAGCTACACCTAAGTTTGTAGTGAGTGGATAAAAACTGACTGGATAGGAAACAAAAAAATACGAGGGCCTTCCAGTTAGTTTCTATTATAGTTTAGGACAGATCCATGTGACCACAGAAAGTAATTTGAAGGATCAAAAATGTGAACAGAAAAATGAGATTGAAGGAAGAAATGAAGCTATTAACTCCACACACTAATTAGAATTGACCTCTGTGACTGGTGGGCCAGGACAGTCTTAACAAAACCCACAGGGAATAAATTTTGGTCTTCAACACCCCAGGATTTCTGAGTAATGGTTTGGGTTGACGTCAGTGAAGTCAGAGTGAAATGAAGGGAGAAAGTAGACTTTGGGGATCCCCAAGCAAGGTAAAAGCTGGTCTAAAATTATGGAAACGGTAGAAGAGATTTTATAATTCCTGGAATATCCAAGTCAAATGTGTCTTCAGGTAGCAAAAGCAGGGTTTTCTGCTGTATAGCAACAATATCCCTACGTAGTTAATGACGTAGTTAATGACTTAACACCTCCCATTCTTCACTGGATTTTCTATACCATAGTAAGTAAGTTTCTGAACTTTCATAATAGTGACTTCTTACGGTGTATATGATGGTTCGTGACTGACAAAGAGGACTGGGATAAGTAAAGAGCATAGTTGTGCTCTTAAATTGGCAGATAAGATTGTGACCATGGTCAAATTCATTTCAGCAGGGACATGTGGGAATGTACCCATCTTTCATCACAGCCGACTCTACACCTTAGAAATAGCCTGCATTTAAAAAAAATATATATGGCAGAGTATTATTCATCTCAAATTTTCACAACAGACTTAAAGACAATCAGCTAATTTTCTTACTACTTGCCCAGTTGTAACAACTATGATATCAGTAGGCTTAGCAAGTATAGTATGCTACTTTAGATCAGATTTTATATTTTTTTAATAGTATCTGTTGACTAAGACTGATTGTTTTCTTCTAGGCCTGGCTAATTTTTGCTGTCTTCTAGGTCTATGTGAGCCCTTCATGACTTGTATAATAAAAAAGGCAATTAATCTCTACACCTTTTAATTAAAATTCCATATGTATGATTTACTTATTCAGGAACTTTAGACTTTCTCTCTTCTAAAGGATAGTTAATATAGAAAATGCATTAAGGGATTTACAATTACCATTTAAAACTCATTATTGGTAATGTTTAGCAGCAATATAGTAAAGTTATAAACACATCTATGTGCTTCTCTTAACTATCTTGCATTGTGTAGTTGTCTGCCAAACAAGTTCCTCCAAATTTAACAAAGAAAATTTCATTGCTAATTAGATTTAGAAAAGACTCTAGAAACTAATGGAAAAAATAAAATTTAAGAGGGGGGTAATTAGTCCAAAATTATCCACGAAATCTTTACTGCTGCCCTGCAAGGTTTATTTTCAATTTACTTTTTATAAGGTTTGTAAAACAGTGCTTTAAATAAGATATAAATGCATATGAAAATAATTGGTGGAAAAAGCATACAATGTAGTTCTTGTTTATGTAGAAAGAGTGTCCTCATAGTGTTTCACAGCTTAGAGAATTTACACTTACTACCACGTATTTTAGAGATTTTTATCACAGTATTTGGAAAAATCAGCTTGTCTTTCTGATATGAGTAATACCTCAATTTGACAGTAGATGGCACTATTGTCCTTTTCTAACAATGTGCCGCTTCCAGGCAGGCCGAGGCTCACGCTAGGGGCACACTTAGTTTCCTCCAAGGGTAGAGAAGAACTGCCATCCAAGAATCAATCTTGAAAGTCATTATTAATTTGAAATGACATCAAAGTTTCATTTTTTCGCTACTCTCTGTTTTAAAATAGCCGTCATACCTTTGCTATTAACTGCTTCGTTGGGGTAGCCAGAAATTCTTTCATGTGTAATGATTTTTTTTTTTTTTAAACAATTTCAGTGCTTTTGCTAGCGCAACAGAACAGTCTTACATAAATGATGGTAAGGAAAATTTATCTCTTTATGATAAGGATAATAATACTCTTTATACCTCTTTGATATTTATTATCCCTTTTCAATAACATTACATGCATAACATGGCAATGGTCATAAAGGTTTGTCAACATGGTTTTCATTAGTTAGATGCTCCATATTAGCATTTCCTAACAGATCGCTGAAATTGCCTCTCACCAGCTCTTTTGTCAATGGCAAATCCATTTACTGCTACTTTTTATCCAAAAACAAATAAAACGATAGCAATAACAACAATGGAAACTTAGTTCTTACTTCCCTCCCTCCACCCCCCTCCCTCGCAATGGTTGTACTTTCTCTATTGTCCAGCTTTGTACCAACTCGGCAGGTAGTCTCTAATGGATTAATAGCTTGAAAAGGGGGATGTTATTGACAGGCACAAATGGATTTCTAAGCATTTCTCTGAAACTCCTCGCTAACGTTCCTTTCACAGGAGCCGTGAAGCATGTGAATTCCTTCTTGGAACGTTTTAGTTTTGTTCCAATCAAAGGGTTTGCCATCCTGGGATTTTCATTTGACTTTAATCGTGGAGATCTAGTTTGCTTTCCTAGGATTTTCAGGGTTGATTGATGGTGTGAAATAATGCATCGATAAAAGAATAATTTGGAGAAAACCACAGGGAGATCATCTGTATTTTGTTTCATTTGCTGTTGTGCTTCTCGCTAGCTCAGAAAATTGATGGATGACAATTATATTTGGGCGTGTATATATGTATATATACTTTACTTCAACAGGCTTGAGATGTCTTTCATCTGCAAAAAGACTTATTTTATGCCAATAATTTAGGTACAAAGAGTGTATCCTATGATTCCTCCATTCATTACACCTCTATTATGAGAGCCCCCCCCAAAAGAAGCTAACTTTTAAACATCTGATTGGCCAATCTCATATTTAAACAAATAATGTAAACTAAAGTGAAACATGTTTTCTAGGAATATGCAAAGACTTTGGACATTGTGTTCTGTTTAGAAGCCTAGCGCCTAGCATCATTCAACTCTACTCTTCTATAGGTCTTGCTCAATCAGGACCAAATTACTTGCTATCCTTTTTATATTTAGGATTGGTTGTAGATGCCAAATAGCCTGGAGCTCGGTGTTGAATACTTTAGCCTTAATAGTAACTGGAGCTATTTGAGACCAAATCATCTCCAGTTTTGATCTCAGTTTGGCTCAAGTCTATCAGGTTCAAGGCTTTGACCTCTCTGTTTTCATCAGAATCCATATAAGACGTGACTTTTATTTCTTTAGGTGCTATACCACAAGTAAACAGGGAGAAGTCCTTATGTGCTTTTTGGAGTCAAGGAATGTTCTTATTTTGCTTTGTGTTCCATGATTAGTATGATGCCTTTACAGGCTAGTGTGTTGCTCAACAAATATTTATTCAAACTTTAAACAGGACAGCTGGCTCTTGGAAAAGCCCCACATTTTGCTCTTCAAGTTTTAATCTATCAGTGGCTACCCCCGTCAGTCTATCTTCTGGGGAAGGTATCGATTCTCTCTTCTACACTCTCTAAGGACCAAAAAGTTCTCTAAAAACAATATTCTTTCCTATTTGATTTACACACATTTCTTTAAAAAAATACCTGGAGATTTTTGTTGCTGGGTTGCATTTATTTTTGTTTTTGTTTTTGTTTTTGTGGGTGTGGAATCTTTTTTTTTAAATTTTATTTTATTTTCTCAGTGTTCCAAGATTCATTGTTTGTGTACCACACCCAGTACTCCATGCCATACATGCCCTCCTTAACACCCACCACCAGGCTCACCCATCCCCCCCACCTGTCTCCCCTCCAAAACCCTCAGTTTCTTCTCAGAGTCCACAGTCTCTTATGGTTTGTCTTCCCCTCTGATTTCCCCCAATTCAATTATCCTTTTCTTCTCCTAATGTTGAAACTTCATTAAGACAATACGGGAAGATTTATTGAGAAGTACAGAAACTATATATATGTGTGTGTGTGTGTGTGTGTGTGTGTGTATAGTGTGTATGATTTTTCATAAGCCATACACCCATAAGTGCAATCATAAAACCAAACTTAGAAATTGTGATCTAGTTATGTCCAGGCAGTTTCAATCATTTCTGAGATTTCTCTTAGGCATTTGAGGTTTGAACTCAGTTGAACTCAGGATTTTACCTCCCTCTCTCCTTTCTGTCTGAATTTGATTTTTAAATCATGGCGATTCCAGAGGCTACTGGGGGATGGGTGTTAATCAATTCTCTTCAGCCCTCTAGTGAATTGTACAGCAGCTCTGCGCAGTTCTCAGGTGGCAAGTTCCTTCACAATGACATGGGCTGAAACAGCCTAGTCGACATTTGCTGCTGAGAGAGAGGGCTGAAGCCTCTCTCCATTTGGTATCTCTTCCTCGCATCTGGGCGACATCCACCAGCTGTCTCTCTGTCATTCTCTCTGTTAACTGTTGTGCTTTCCTCGTGGACACTGGAAATGGACAGCCTCTCTCAAGTACTCCTCTGGGCTATGAATAAGTTACTGGGCCTACCTCAGGTTGTCCAGCTGTCCCTGCTGCCATCTTTGCTCTCCTGCTCTGTGACATGGTGGCATGTGTGAGAAGCTCTAGCTTCTAGGAGTTTCAGGGAGACAATAAGTCATTCTTCTTTCCTCTTGAATTATCAACCTCATTTAGAGGTCTACTCTTCTCTCTACATCTCCTTGCTCCATTATCACACACTTGACCTGAAGGAGAAGACAACCCAGGACTTCTCAGACCAGCATGTCTGTCTCTTAGTAGTTTGGTTTCTCTTTTTCCATCTGGTTTGGAAGCTCTTCTCTGATGGACAAGGTAGGCAAAAGGCAAAGAAAATCAAAACAAAACACGTCCTTCAGTAGGTAGTCTTCTAAATATTTTACATCCAGCCTGACTTTTTTAAAACTTAGAAGTTAAGACTTCACTCTAGGTTTTCTGGTTTTCCCACTGACATCATCTGGCTCTGTTGGTCTTTAGGGTTAAAAGTGAGCAGAAGTGTAAGATAGAAAGGAGACATCTGTTCATGCCTCACATATCACCCCCATCCTAACACAATATTGTGAACCCTAGAAGGAAGGGGCACTACCCACTGAAAAATAATGTATCATAACTCTATAAAGGATTATGATTTCCTTGTTACAGGTGAGAAGCTTGAGGCTTAGAAAGATAAAGATGTTGTAACAACAAATGATAGAGAGGCATGACGGCCAGTGAAAATTGTAGCCATGAAACCAGGGAAATAGATTTCCTAATTCTGGCCTAGTTGTCTCCTGCCATCACTCCAGATCTACATCATCTGCTGGCAGGTGTCATCATCAGCTGGCAGGGTCCACACGCTCATTTTGGTTCATACAGATCTACATCAGAATGGTTATTTCCTTATCTCAGCACTGATCTAGTAAGTGCAAGTTCATCTTCTGTCTGGCATTCTTAGTATAGGTCAGGGTTTCTCAACCTTGCCACTGTTGACATTTTGGACCAGATAATTCTTGGAAAAATTCAGATAATTTGGAGAGCATTGAAGGACTGTCTTGTGTATTATAACAACATCCTTGACCTTTACCTATTAGATGCCAGTAACATTCTTTCCAGTTACGACAATCAAACATGTCTCCAAATATGGTCAAATGTCCCCTGGGAGGCAAAATTGCCCATACCTCATTAAGAACTACTATATAGGTTTTTTAATCTTCAATTCTGTTATCTGCTGTACTATACTTTACTGATCCAGTATTATTTCTATTCTTTACTCAAGACCCCAAAACTCTATGTAAATGTTTGTAAATATTTGGGGCAGGTTTCAGTTTTTTAGGGCTTGAAGCTCATATCATTTTGCAGTCCTTCCTTAAGAAAAGAAATACAGAATTATGAGTAAAGTTAAGCATAAAAGTTCAAAATCATTTTGAATGAGAAAAAATTATAATAAGTCACAAATTTTTAAAATATGAAAAATACCACAAAGTCCAGGAAGAAATACAATGTATTTATTAAATAGCTTTTCATGACACTTCTTTTGGCCTATATTTTTGGCTACTGATTCTTTGATAACCTCTTCCCATGATGAATTTTTAACCTTATTTTTTATAAAGAGAATAGATAATTTAGATTTTCTCTATCACAGTTAAATTGACATTTGTTTGTTCTTACTGATATTTGAGAAAAGTTTATTTCAGCCTTGCAACTCGTCATGCTCATGCGTATTATAATGCACAAAACATATGCTTTCACAGGCATTTCTCTCTTTTCAGTTCCTGCTACTGGTGTTGGTGTCCAGGACAGGGTTTCTGATGAATTCTATTTCATGTGAAATGAAAAAAGAGACAAAACACAAAGAGTGTTTAATAGTAATTAATAATAGTAAATGTTGCATTATTGAATTGATTCTTGAGAGGAGGACATTTCTGTTTTGGCTTGTCAGCCACAAGAATGGAATCTTTTGCTCACAATTTTACAGGTTTGATTATTGGAAGGATCTTCCACAGATGTGCTTCTAAAGTCACACGTTTCTGGGGTGTCTGAGTGGCTCAGTGGGCTAAGTCTCTGCCTTTGGCCAGACCACGGTCTTGGGGTCCTGGAATTGAGCTCAGCATTGGGCTCTCTGCTCAGCAGGGAGCCTGCTTCCCTCTCTGTCTCTGCCTGCCCCTCTGCCTATTGTGATCTCTGTCTGTCAAATAAATAAAATCTTAATAAAATAAAATAAAATAAAGTCACACGTTTCAGACGTTTTTCCTCTTCCATGCTGCACGTTCTTTCAATTCTTGGTGCCATAGGACACATTCATATAGAAATAAAACCTCTACCTTTTCACTTTACTGTTAGGATCCTTGGTGAGTAAACAAGGGGATGCAGTGAACGCAATACACCAGAGAGGTTAGCAAGAACTTAATTATACGCAGAAATGACTGTGAACCGTGTAAACAGAGCCCACTTTACCCAAACTAAATATATTCTCAACTCACCTTGCCCTTAATAGGATCCCCCAAATACCAGCGGCCCCTGTAATACATCTTTTTTTTTTTTTTTAAGATTTTATTTATTTGACAGAGAGAGATCACAAGTAGGCACAGAGGCAGGCAGAGTGAGAGAGGAGGAAACAGGTTCCTTGCCGAGCAGAGAGCCTGATGCGGGGCTCGATCCCAGGACCTGGAGATCATGACCTGAGCCGAAGGCAGAGGCTTAACCCACTGAGCCACCCAGGCGCCCCCCTGTAATACATCTTAAACAAGAGAGAAATATCACAAGTGGGATGTTAGAGTGAAAACAGATGGATTCATTGATGCTAAAACAT